TTTGTGCTGAGATGCTGGAGTTGGTGACATAAGGCTTACATTAGTTTTGAAAATACAAGACCTAAGAATACGTCCCCTTTACAGATTTGTAAATTAGGAATGTTTTAAGAACATTTATTGGAGTGATACACTTTTTTTTTTTTTTTTAAAGATTTTATTTATTTATTTTTCCCCCAAAGCCCCAGTACATAGTTGTCTGCCATAGCTGCACATCCTTCCAGTTGCTGCATGTGGGATGCAGCCCCAGCATGGCTGGAGGAGTGGTGCCTCGGTGCGCACCCGGGATCCGAACCCGGGCCACCGGCAGCGGAGAGCACGCACTTAACCGCTAAGCCACGGGGCCGGCCCCTGGAGTGATACACTTTAAAGAGTGATACACTTTAAAGACAGCACGTGAATATTATTTAAAACAATAGCAAAGTTAACACATACAAGAATACTTGTATCCTGTTTTTTTTAACCCGTATAGCTTACTTAGTTTACTTAGTTTATTTCTTACTTTATTTATTTCTAACATTTATCATTTGAGAAGCTTATACAGTGCTGCACACAATATAGTGTTTGAAAAACTACTTTAGATTGAAATTAGTGTCATTTCCAGGTGATTTAGGAGTATAAATTTATACTACCTTTAAATATGATTTAAGATGTTTTGAGGCATTACAAAACCATGCCTAGAAATCATTGCATTAGAGTCTTGGGTAATAATATTTTACTTAAAGAATATGAAGATGTAAGGTGAAAATGGTAATAATGACTTGCATTCTACAAACTCCCTGAAATTTTTGCAAGATGTAATACTTTTAGTCTTCTCATTGGCTTATTCAGGGCAGGCAAGTAGTGAACAGCCTGGGCATCAGTCTGTAAGGAATGCTTGACATCACTGCAGTAAATTAGAGCTATGATCCTGTTTAGTATAGATTTCCAACATAACTCCTTACTTAACTGGCAAGATGTGAAATGGTTCGGCCCCTGGCGAAGTAGAGTATTTTTGCAACACGTATAGGCAAGATGCATGGTGTAAACACAAGACATCTCAAACCCTAAGGCCAACCACGTAACAGTCAAAGAACTTGGCCGTCAGAAATTCTGAAACTGAGTAATTAACTGGCTATAACTGCTTATTAGGATCAAGTGATCTCTTTTGTCTATATTGTAAGCAGTTTAACTTAGTTTCTAAGAGGTTATATGATGTGGAACATCGCAAAAAATTCCTTATTTTCAACATAGAGGAGTTTACAATTTTCAGTTTCTCTTAGTCCCATTAAATAAATAGAATAATTATTTGAAAATTATTGGTTAGAAGTATGCTCAGGGCAGTCCTATATCTTGGTTCAGGCCTGATCACACTCACAAGAGAGTGAAATCCTAAACTATTAAAAAGCAGAATGATGGGGTCTTCATAAAATCTCCACAAAAATTTTAAATCTCTGTGTACTTATGATGTGGCCAACCAAATTCACTACATTTCTCCAAATGTGGTCTGACCCACTCCAAGTAGAATGGAACCACTTTATCACCTTCTTTGTTTAGTTCAAAGTACCTCTACTCACATGGTCTACATCTGTGTTGACTGATTTGGCATATATGTTATGAGGTGCACTCGTATCAAACGCGTGGTCAACAATAAACCTGCTTTGTTTATGCACTTACTACTGTACAACTCCTTTTTCTCCAGTACCCTGCCCCACAATTTTCTGCCACATCTGCAACCCTAAACTCCAGTTGGCTTGGAGATTATCAGGCAGTGGCCTGGCAAGATCAGTAGATTTGTTACTTATGAGGTAGGGGGTGTTGAGAAAATAAGTAAATATACTGAAAATATTGCAAGCCAGCTCTCTTGTTGATGGAGATGGGAGTCACAAATATAAAAAGGAAAAAATGTAGAATGAGTCTTGGGGTGTTGGATTAAAATTGGAAGTATTGGTGTGATCTCATGACTTTCAAGAATAGAAATAGATGTAATAGAAATAAGTATAGAGATTTGTGTATGTTAACATATACGTAAAAATATATGCCTACATTTATTTCCTTACTTTGTCTACTGTGCCTGGGAATAGCAACACCCCAGTAGCAATGAGCACACCCAGTGACCAGATTTTGGGTTCTGAATACCATTCTCCATTAAGTAGAACCAGGTATCCTTGGAGAAATGGTTGACTCCAGGCTTGGGGTTGGGAAAGTACAAGATGAATCTGGAGTGTCTTATTATACCAGAAAGTAAGGAAGTGGTCAGAGAATGATAGGAACATGTGAAAACATAGACACCAGCTTGAAGAGACTCCTATTAAGTAAATCTGTGCAATTTGAGAATCAAAATAAAGAATGATAGTAACAGATTATCTTACTGTATAAAATAGGAATATTTTCTTCAATTGGGATATAATGGGATACATGAGTGTATTCAACTTATGAGAAGATGAGAAAGCTTTATCTTATGGTAGAATGCCAATTCATAAAAGTATAAGGGAGGGGCCAGCCTGGTGGAGTAGTGGTTAATTTCGAGCGC